GCTCAGCGGCCGGCCGCTGTGGCCCCCGGGAAAGAGCACCGCGGGGCGGAGGCTGGTGCGGTCTCCGATTGCAGGAGAGCAGGAGGGACTCGGCGGGTTTGGGGCTTTGTTTTTTGTTGTTTGTTTGCTTTTTGGGTTGTTCCTACAAAGCAACTCGTGATTCCATTGAAAAGTCAGTTGCGAGAGTGGGTTCAGCCCAGCAGTGTCGAGGACAAAGTTCTTCACCGCATGTGAACAGACTTGCACCAGCTAACACCCCCCGTCTGGGTTCTATTGGTGATATTTTATTCTTCCCTTTTCTTGAGTGTGTAACAACAAACTCTTTAAGATTTAGATGATCGGGAGCACGCAGTTCAGCTAGCCACTGGTACAGCTGAGTCTTTAGGAAGAGGAGTATAGAGAAGAGCTTGAGACTCTACGTATTGACCCACAGGGGCACCTACTAAGTGCCAGTGCTAAAAAAAATCATATTGTCACATTTTGGATAATAGATTGCTACACAAGGAAGTCAGTAGGTTTGCTTGTATCACATACAAGCCTAGTAACAGATACATAGAAAGCACTTACTAATACAAAGGAAGAACTAATATAGACCAAGCCCGAAAACTTTGAGTGAATTGACTAAACAGTATCTAGTTTTGATTGCTTTAATCACTGTTTCAAATGGGATTAACTGAGAAGCAGGGACAGGTATCAGCTGTGGCGGGGTCTGCATCTGCATTTTAATGTGTGTCTCCAATGGGAGTGATCCACCTGCTGACCAGGTCTGCTGGTGGGTAGCCAATGTGCCGGATTTGCAAGCATCTTAAAGGCTCAAGTTATGTTGCCATGCCTAACACTGCATGGGATATTTTCTTTCCAATTGCTTTCTGATTATTAAATTGATACAAGTTCATTTTAGGAAGTTCAGAAAGAAGATAAAACTGCACTCATAATTGCCAAACTCAGAGAGATAACTTTTAACATTTCGGTATATATCCTTCTAGAAATGAAATTACATGTTTTATGGCCAAGTAGGGTTCAGTTCAATAAGTCCCATTATAGCATTTCAACAGTATGTAGAATCATAATGCTGGCACAAAGCCTGGTTCCCTCAGTGATCCTGGGACAAATTACCTCACTCTCTGAGTGTTCTCATTTTAAAATAAGGTGATACCATTGCCTGTATTAATAAATAATAATTAATTCACGTGAGTGCATCATGTACTGACTGGCATATAGTGACTACTCGGTGTGTTTATTAATACCAAGGACATGGTACCGCAGGCTCACAGGGCTAGGCAGGCCCTATAGATCACCTCCCATAGTTCCTGCTTTTCACAGGCACAGGAACAGACTCAGGGAAGTAGCTTATTGTTGCACAGCTAATTTTAATAGATCTGTTATGCCCCTGTTCCCTCTGCTCAAACGCCACCTCAGAATGAGTCCCTGATTTCTTTCCTCCCTCCCTTTGCCATAGTCCTTGTTAGTGTCCTCTGTTATAGTAACATGGATTTGAATTTATGGTTTGACAGTTATCTTCTACTTGTCTGTGACTTCCTCAGGGTCTTGGCTAATCTTGGAACTTTGTATGTTCAGAATCAAGATAATTGACAACTAATGAGTGGGTATGTTATGGTCGCTGGGGAGAAGAGCTAGCATTGGCAGCAGTGTCCAGATATGTGAAGGGCATACTCCATCTCATGTCAGTCACAAAATTGCCTCACAGGTGTTTGTCGAGTGCTGACTTTGTGTCAGGAATGGGCCATGCAGGGCTGGCAGTGTTGTGCAGGACAAGCTGGGCCTTTCCCTAGGAAGTTTGCAGCCTAGTAGACAGGCAGGCAGGCACCAGACAAGGTGCTTTACTTGTTATTGTGCTGAGCACCACAAAGGAGAGTCAGGGTGCTGGAGAGCCAGGATCCTGGAACTTTTGCCCAATGGAGCACAGGGTGGGCAGGAAAGGTGCTTCCCAAGGTAGGGCAGGTGAGCACTGTTGCCAGCCAGAAGGCAGGTTGGAGTCCCCCTGGTGGGAATAGCAGGTGCTGGGCCTAGAGGAGGGAAGAAGCATGGCATGTCCTGGGAATCCAGAAAGCCAGGATGGCAGAGGGTGAGGCTGAAGCTACTGACGTTGGCTGAGGCCATGTTCTGGAGGCTGCGTGGATCTCACTGCGGATTTTCACTTTTAGCCTCAGAGCAGTGGAAAAACCTATGATTGTACTTGCTTTTAGAGAGATGTTGATGGGTTAATGAAGCGTGATCAGGATGATAAGGTTTCTAAAGCTTAGATACTACTAGGAATATTTAGTTCAAAGAGGGAAGAGGGAGTGGTAAGTCATGGAAAGCCACTCTGCTTGAGGAATGGAGCACAGGAGCCCTGTGTGTCTCAGAGCACATCCTCAGCTTGTGGATGCTCAAAGAGGCAGATCTTTCCTGAGGGCCCAAAGAGTTTCCTAATCCTGGGATTGGTCAGGAGCAGAATAGGCTGCCTCTTGGGCTGTAGGGGGTGTGTGGGCAGAGGCTGCAAAGCCTTCTGCTAGGGAAAGTGTGATTAGGAGTCCCAGACATAGTAGGAGAGGCCTTCAGGCCTTTGATGCCCCTCTCAGTGTAAATCAGATCAAGTCAGCAAATTTCATAGTACCTTGCAGATGATTCAACAGGCCTGAAACTTGATTTCACTCCTTTCTTTAATCCTGAAGTTCATAAACTTGAGGCTTTGTAAAAAAATAAATTTACAAAGTGAAGCAATTCAGCACATACGTTATTAGTATTACATATTTGAAATTATATTTATAGAATTTTTTAAAGTAAAGAAATCCTATGATCGTTCAAGAAAAGTAACTGTGGTTTGTATTAGTAGGTTAGCCTGAAGTTACAGTCAAGGCTGATGCCAGTCAGTGTGCACACACAAGCCATTATTTCAGGCAAGAGGAAAATAACCTATTCGAAAACTCAAGAATAACAAGCACTGGCTACTTAAGAGGTGCTCATACATTCTTGAGTAAGTTGGGTGGAAAAGTGAAAGACAATAGAGGAATTGGATGTTTCTCTTCCTAGGGAAACTTCCCCTTTGTGCATTTAATCTCATTCCTGTTAGGGAAATAAGCTACAGGCTGGAAACGCCTAGCTGTGGCTAGTCTGTAGTCTTATAGTCTCCTATCAGGCAGGGAGGGATGGAACTGGGTTGGAACTGATTGTGATCCAAGTGACGGATGGAGCAGTCTCTCATTTGGAATGGCAACGGCAAGTAGTGCTGTCTCCAGACCATCTGAATCTGGAGGAGCAGCTTGAGGGGAGAAGATGACAGAGCCAAGAGCTAGGTAGAGCAGTAATGAAGGTTCCCGCTTCCTGGGTGCGTAAGCTGGGCTGCAGCATTGCGCTTCCTCCCATGTTGAGGCTTGAGGTGCTCTGTTGATGGAGACGTTCACTTTCCTGCCCCTCTGCTCCTGCTGTTCAGGGGCATCTCTAGGGGTGTGGGCAGTAGCTGGCACACTGCACCAGGTGGTTCTCACTTCCCTGCAAACAGTCTTAATTGGTGAACATCATTTCAGGAGGCACGTCTTCCTCCCTGATCCTCACCCTCCTTGAGGTGGTTTAAGGATCAAGATAGACAGTAAGGCCATGCAGATGAATGAGCTGAGACTTTTTTTTTTTTTTTTTTCCATTTTGGAAAAAGTGGTAAAAGAATCTGGTTGCAAACCCTAAACTGTGGCTTGGCATATGGGGCGTAATGATCCCTGCAGGAAGAGCTGCAATTCCGAGGGCAGTCAGGCTTCACTCTGCTCTCTGTCTTCATGGACTAATGCACCTCTTGATCTTTCCTTTGGGGAATAACAGCAAGCAAAGGCTACCAAGAGAAAAGACCAAGCGTCCAGTGAGGCTCCCCCAGCAAAACGGAAGAAAGAAACGTCCTTTCTCCCAGCCAAGAAAACTGGTGTTGGAGAAACTAGGAGGGCTTTTAGGGGCAATGCACAAAAAACATTGTCTCCAAAGAAGAATTGGGCTAACACAGGAGATCAAAAGCAAGAGTATAAGCCATGCGTCAAGACTTCATCGCTGTTCAAAAATAACCCTGACATCCCAGAACTCCACAGGTATGGTCAAGTGCGGCTGCACCTCAGGCGTGAGGAATGGCCTGTGTCTGCCTTTCTCCTGGTTGGCATGGGCACTGATCCTGGGCTTTGTCCGTCCTCTGCAGACCTGTGGTACATCAAGTGCGAGAACAAGTATTTGCTCCGGAGACCTTCCAGGAGCTGGGCCTGCACCCACATCTCGTGAGTACTCTCCTGCCTCATACATCGTCTTGTACCTGCATGTCTTTCAGTGTCTGCTTTTGCTCCCAGTTACCTGAGTGCATTGGGACTGCTGGACTGGCTGCTGGCATGGTTGAGCTACGCCCAGGTTACTCTTCTCTGTCTCCTGGCCCTACCTGCCCCACCCCCATCTTTTTTTTTTCTTTTTTTAAGGCCTGGAGACTTTGCCCACCTGATGCACTTTGAGGCCAGGGCTTCGATTACTGGACTTGAAATAGCTTGCTAATTACTGCATAAATGTGTTAAAGCCGTTAGTGATTGCAAACGTCACATTGGCCCCAGGAGTAGGAAGCAACATTCTAGTAGTTACGGGGTGTGCAGCTTCAGATGATAAAGGTGGAAGAGACAGCTTTCAGGGTGTCTTCAACACACAGAAACCACTTTCCCTCTTTTTTGGTACCATGAACATGTTTCTTAGGCTTACTGTGATTGGGCTGAGGAGGCGTGTCCTGGTTTCCTGTGCCATGAAAGCACAGCTCCCGCAGCCCTTCTTCAGGTGGCTTATGGAGGGTCATTTTCTAACCCATGGTGTTTAGACCAGGGTCTCCCCGCACCACCGTGGGCAGTTTGGGCTAGGTGATTTGTTGTGACTGTGCTGCTCACATTCAGATGTTTAACAGCATCCTGGGGAATAACAGTAGCACCTTCTCCCAGCTGTGGCAACCAGAAATTTCTTTTTCTTTTTTTTTTTTTAAAGAGAGAGTGAGAGAGGAGAGAGAGAGAGAGAGAATTTTATATATTTATCTTTTAGTTCTCGGCAGACACAACATCTTTGTTGGTATGTAGTGCTGAGGATCGAACCCAGGCCACACGCATGCCAGGCGAGCGCGCTACCGCTTGAGCCACATCCCCAGCCCAACCAGAAATTTCTCCAAATATTGTCACATGTGTGGGGGCAACAGAATTGCCTCCCAGTTGAGAACCACTGGGTGGGTGGAACTTCACTTGATCCTGGCAATCGGTGTCATTCTAGTGTTTTCTCCTGTTTTGTGTGTCATTTCCATTAAATATGTTTGTATAAAAAAAATTTGTTTTCTTCTTCTCTTTTAGGTTTCTACAATAAGTACTGTCTTAAAAATATGCACTATGACCAGGTAAGAGTTTAGGCTCTTAACTTTCTTAGGGCTTAAGTGGGAAAGACAGAAGAAAACCGTCATCTGTGGAGGGCAGAGCGGGTTGTGAGTCTTGGCACTAGAGAACAGAGCTGAGCTGTGGGCCCTTAAGGGCTTGGCCTCGCACTCAGATGTTCAGGTTCCCACGTGGCAAATGGAGAGCCTCTGTTTCCACTTTAATCCTCAAGAGAGTCTGTTTAAGAAGATCTGCTGTTGCCAGTTCTTCCCTGAGAATAATTTGACCTGAATACATAATTTGGTCACCTCATTTTTAAATAGTAAGGTCACGGTCAAACAGAAGTATGTGGTTAGATAACATGGAAAACTGAAAAATTTTTGTGTTTGTTACAAGGTCAGGTGGGGAAGGAGAGCGGCCTCATTAGAGCACGTGTACTTCTGTACTTTAGTCGTGATCGCTTTTTATTGCTATAAGTCAAAACGAGAATATTGAAGAATGAGGATGAGGACCTCTTAGTACCAGATTCTTCTTTTCTTTTTGGGGGGTGGTGCTGGGGATTGAACTCAGGGTCTCACACATGCTAAGCAAGCGCTTTACCCCACTGAGCCACATCCCAGCCCCTTTTTGTTTGTTTGATGAGCCAGATTTCAATGACTCCTATAACTGGCCTTAAATGCACTGCAGACACATCCTTCAGCGTCTGACAGATGCCTAGGAAGGGGACTGTGCTGCTGGTTGGGTAGCTCACATACTTCCCTTCCCTCTTCTAAGTGGAACTCTCCTTTGTCGTGTCTGTAATCTCTATTACAGAAGGCGAGAGAGCATGTGGCATGTTACTGTGGTGACTCTAATTTGTTGTCATGCCATCTAGTTTTTTAAAAACAATGGCCAATCTCTGACTTGATTCACCATTTTCAGCCAAATTCAAACAAATTTACTAGGGACTTATCCTAATAACCAGCAGCCTCTCAGCTCCTTCCCTTGCACTTTAGGTGACTTCTTGGGGGACCATGGGTAGACAGCTCAGAGTATGGGGCAGCTCCTCCTCTGTCCCCTGCATCTTTGCCTGCACACCTGATAGAGACATGTCTTCTCTTTTGGGTGATACCAGTGTTCAGAAGCAGAGCATTCCTGTGTTGCTGGAAGGCAGAGACGCCCTGGTGCGCTCCCAGACAGGCTCAGGTCAGTGATGTCTAGCTGCACTCCTCCATGGCCCCAGGACCATGGTCGTGCGGTGGGCTCTGTGTCTGGCAGTGGTAGCTGTTTCTCCTTGTTTGGAGGAAGGAGGCCATGCTTGTGTCTTATTAGAGCCCCACATTTGCTGACAGAATGAAGGGAAGGGGACAATGGATGATGATGTGGTCAGCAGTGACAAGGGGGTAGCTGGCTCTCTTGTTATTTCCTTGGGGCCAAGTCCCACCACCTGTGGCCAGAGCCACCCGTCCTCACTGGTTGGGGGTGACTCTTCTTCTGCTGTTAAAACAGTCTGGCATGAGCACAGGCTGCTTGGATGCCAGCTGTGGTCCTGGGGCAGAGTTCTGCCTGGGCGAACTGCCCCTCTGTCCCTCGTGTGCCCTCAGTGCTGCAGACGGCTGTTCTCCACTCCTGCCAGTGCAGCCCCAGGCAGGGGCTGGGACTTCTGCCTTGCTGGGTTTCCCAGGACTCACTGATCACATCAGCACTGCAGAGGCCTGATTGACCATGAGGCTCATCAGAGAGGTTAAGGGGGCTCCAGAGGAGAAAGGTCAAGCTTCTGCAGATGGCCATCAGGTTGAGCATTTGTGTAACTTGGGAAATGCCGTTAACCTCCCTTGCTGGGTGGATAAAGGAGACAAAGCTTCAGACTTTTTAGAAGCACTGAACTTACAAAATAGAATCAGGAATTATGGCAGATGGGTGAGGTCTCTTGACGTGCACTTGATCTTCTCCCAACTACCAGGGACAGCAGAGCCTGTTTGTCCTTTAACTGCTTTTGTGCTCTTTTTAAAGGTAAAACTCTGGCCTATTGTATCCCCATGGTCCAGTCCCTTCAAGCAATGAAGTCAAAAATACAGGTGCGTGTGAATGTGCTTCTCTGTTCTTGTCCACGGTGCTGTGGGTAACATGCATTGCATTTATTACCCAAGTCCTGGCCAAAGACTGTCCAGTGTGGAGTGGAGCAGCGTCCTTCCCTGTCGCCCTCATAAGTGTACCAGGGTTTCTGTGTGTGCCTCGCACACCTCACCTTTCGAGCCTCTTGATGCCATGCGCCCACCATATGCCACTGTTACTCTGGCCCAGTCCAGACAGAAGCTAAGGGAGGTGAAATGGCCAAAGCCATGCAGCAGGGAGGTGGAGCCAGATTCCCATCACATCTCTTTGGCTCCAGGGTCTCACTCTGTGGCCCTGCAAGGGTTTCATGGGACATTTCAGCACTGGGCCTCTTTCTGTGCTTTCCACTTAACCAGCATCACTCAGTAAATGCCTCAGAATGACCTGATTTGCAGCTGTCCACCCGTGCTCTGATCTCGAGTGTTATCATTATGTGGAATTGTGCTGCGGCCTTTATTCTGAGTTCAGTGCCTTGTTGCTTTTGACCAGAGAGGCTGCACTTGGTGTTTACAGTGGCGGCTTGTTGGTGATAGGTGTGAACAGGAGCGTCTAGTCAGCCAGCGTGCAGTCGGGCTGCCACGGGTTACTGTTGCCTAGAATTCCTCCTCAACTGTGAAACACTTAACGCTGAGGCCAGAGGGCCAATGTGGGGCTTCTGTGGAGGCCAGTTAACTGCTCTGATCCATGGGCAGAGGCTTTTCTCCTCAATCTCAGCCCAGGGGACCGCAGATGCAGTCCCAGTCACTCAGTTGACAGAAGTGGTGAGATGTGAGACCAGAAATAGGAATGAGTGCCCAGAACAGGAAAAGAACAAGCAGTGGCTTTCTCTGGGCTTGGACATACAGAATCAGAAGGGCGTTGGGCCTCCCTGATTTCGGGTGAGAAGAGAAGTAACATGGACTTGCGCTGGGCTCCAGGGACTAAGGTGTGTGACTGTGTGCCCAGGCGGGTACCAGGAGGTTATAAATTATTGAGTGAATAGGTAAATGGGAGAGGAGGAAAGCCTTTCCTTACAGGGGAACCCTGTGGGTGGATGTCGTGTTGTGTCTGGTAGGGCCACGGAAGGCTGTCCAGGCATGAGGTGCATGGAGGCTGAAGTGGGTGTCCATGAGGCACATCTTGGTGAAGGCAGTCGGAACTGTACATCGGGAAGCCCAGGTGACCAGGTGTGTCATCCTCCAGAGCCACCTGAGGACAAGGCTCTTTGTTGGGTTTGCCATAAACACATAACCTGATTTAATTGCAGGGAATCACCAGACAAATTAAGGGACAGCCTACAAAATAACTGGCCAGTAGTCTTCAAAAGGGTGAAGGTCATGATACTAAAGAGCTGCCTCAGGTGGAAAGATGCAGGGGGTGGGACAGCGGAAGACCTGTGGTCCTGGGTTGCAGTCCAGCCGGGTTACAGAACGTTTATAGGTCAGTTGAATAAGGTCTGCGGAGTAGTTGACAGCATGCAGTGTTAACCTCCTGGTTTCGGTAATCATCCTGGGGTTTTGACATTGATGGTGGGGGAACTGGGAGAAGTTATGGGAATTCCTTATACTATTTTTGCAATTTTTTTTTTATAAGTTTGAAGCTATTTCAAAATGTGTAGGTTAAACACATATAAAGATGGTTGAAAGAAGAAACCGCCACAGTCATTCCCAGTGATAAAATGCTACGTAGCGCCTAGAAGTAACGTTCCTTAAGTTGCTGCCGTGAACTTGAGCAGTGTCTGGCTCAATGGAAGAAATACAGGTTACAAAGCAGCACGTCATGTTATCGAGTGTTGGAGATGCTGTCATAACCAGCTGAAACGCAGCCGGCTGCTGAGCCGCACTCTGGGCAGGGGAACCAGGGCTGTCTCCTTCGGGACAACGACTTTGCCTATGGAGTGCTTCACAGCGGGCACGTCCCCACAATGTGCCCAGCGTTTCCTTGGCACACAGAGGAGGGGGGGACTCATGTGGCGCTCCTGTCTGAGGTCCACTCACTCACACACTGCGGAGCTCTTGCCAGTGGGGCTTTTCTTCACACCAGCCTGAGAGTTAGGGCACCGTGGGAGTTGGAATGAAGCCACAGTTCCAACCCAGCCTTATCTCAGACTGGGAAGTGAGGGCAAGATAAGATGGCCTATGTGTTAGGTGGATGGTGTGGGCAACTCTGCTTCAATCCTAGGTCTGGGTGTACTTTTTTTGGATGTTGGGGATTGAACCCCGGGCCTTGTGCATGCTGTGTGTGCTCTCTGCTGCCACTCCATGCCCAGCCCCCTGTGTCTCCGTGTTGTCCTGGTTTACCAGGAGCCACAGTTGTTGCCTGTCTCGGCCAACTGTGCCTGTGAGGCTTGAGCCCTGGGGCCTGGAGGTGGCCTCTCGTGTTCAGAACCACCAGCAGCAGCCTTTTTCTGTGCTCAGGGACTCTACCGCCATCAGCAGACCTATTAAGACTGAAGTGTTTTATAGAAAAAGTTTCCAAGCCCCAATTTAATTTATCAATTTCCAGGAGTATTCAGTGAAGTCTCTTGACAGTCATTATAAAATGATTTGGCCTGTGACCTCTGGGGGCCCCGGGACTCCAGATATCAATTGCCTGGTGATGGACTAAGGGTGGCCCGCTGCTCAGAGCTTGCACTGTGTGGCTGTGCTGTGTGGTGTCACATCTATCCTGCTCTGCATGCCTGTGACCTGCAAGGAGCTGGCCTCATCTCTGAGCAATGCTTTGTGAAGTGCCCCTGACCTCAAAGTGGCACTGCAGTATGGGCCCATAGGGTCCTAGGGCAGATGACTTAAGTGTGAGCTCTAAATCCTTCTCTCCTGTAGGTAAATGTTTCCTGTGCAAAACACAAAAGCTCTGCTGGTGATTGAATTTGCCACTGGGTTTGCTCTGACTCATTGAGCATCTCTGCCCTCTCTGGGTGGACCAAGGCCTGGGCAATGTAGGGTAATTATTTAGATACAATGTGTCTAAACAAAAAATTCAGAGTACCAAGAGTAGATGGAGTAAAAAGTCCTGCTCCCCTCTCCAGGAGCAGTGTGTGGCTGGGGAGGAGTGATGTGGCCTGCCAGGCTCTGGAGTCCCTTTCCGGGAGTATTTTTTGCATATTATGCAAATGTCTTCCCCTTTCCCTGTGAACTTTTTCATTTTTGTTTGATTCCATACACGAATGGTTGCTTGTTACACATGAAGTTCTTTGCTGTGCTTTTGTTCATGTTTGGGGGTTGGTTTCTTATCAGTTCCACATTGAGCTGCCTTTGTACTGGCTGCCTGGTATTCCATTATACATATGCATCATAAATTCCAGGCCATTCCCTCATTGGTTGATGGACCTGACATTATGTCCAGTAGAGCATGATAGCCAAGGCTATCGGTAGTACCCTACAGCCTCTAAAATATTCTGTGGCTTTTTACGCCCGCATGCCTGTCCGCAGCAGCCATTCCTGTGCGTGGCCTTTGCCTTTCAGCGTGGCAGCTAGTGCCAGAGCTGCCAGGTGTTCTGCCAGCTTGCCCTCCTGCCAGCAGGCTACATTGGTTCATGTTTGCTCACATCCTCATCAAAACTGTCTGCTGTTTTAGTATTGGTCATTTGATGGGGAAAATATTATATTGTATTTTGAATTTGAGTTTTTTCAGGAATAAAGATGAACATTGCTGGGTGTGGTGTCTCACACCTGTAATCCCAGTGTTTTGGGAGGCTGAGGCAGGAGGATCATGAGTTCATAGCCAGCCTCAGTAATGGTGAGGCGCTAAGCAACTCATACCCTGTCTGTAAATAAAATACAAAATAGGCCTGGGGATGTGGCTCAGTGGTCAATTGCCCCCCCAATATGACTACATATATGTAATAATCATATTTTGAGTTTTAGTTTTCATAAATTATTTGTTTTTCTATTTGAGTTATTGATCTTTTAATTGAATTATAGGCCTTCTAAAAAGATTATAGAGTTTCTGTAAAAGTTAAGGAAGTTGGCCTCTTCTCTTCATTGTAGCATATTTTTCCCTAGACTGTTACTCGATTCTTTATTTTACCTAGGTACATTTCTCCATTTTGAAGTTTTAGATTTTTTTTTTTTTTTTTTAAAGAGAGAGTGAGAGAGGGGGGAGAGAAAGAGAGAGAGAGAATTTTTTTAATATTTATTTTTTAGTTCTCGGCGGACACAACATCTTTGTTGGTATGTGGTGCTGAGGATCGAACCCGGGCCGCACGCATGCCAGGCGAGCGCGCTACCGCTTGAGCCACATCGCCAGCCCGAAGTTTTAGATTTTTATGTAGTAAAATTTACCAGGATTTTCTTTATGATTTCTGAATTTTGTGTCATCTGTAAAAGTCCAACTTTAATGCCAGTTTTGTTTTTCTAACTTGATTATTTGTTTTCCAAAGGACTTTTGAATAATCCATTTTTTTTATTGGTATAAAATGGCCTTTGTATATTTTTCTAAATTTCCATATGTATTTGATTCTATTCTAGATTATTTGCTATTGCAATCTCTGTATAACACTACCATATTTTAAATTGCTTTGGCTTATAATTTACATGTGATATGTCTTCACAGACATCAGTTATTTGTACACATGTACTTTTCCATATTTACCTTGACATCAGCTTGTCTTACTATTTTATTATACATTCGCACGCGCGCGCGCACACACACACACACACAACACATTTTTGAGGTGTCTCGTTAGTATTACTTCACATTTATGGATTGGTGTAAAGAGAATTAATTTAGTTAGAATATTGAGTCTTCCTATCCAAAAATGGGGTACAACTTTACCTTTATTCAGATTTTATTTTATGCCCCTCGGTGGTGTTTTTAATTATCTTCATGTAGATCTTGTACACTTTTAGGCTTTTTCTTTCCATCTTTTTTTGTTGCCATGGTAAGTGTGAAATTTCCCTTTATTGTGTTTTCTAGAACTCTGAAATAGACAGCTATTGATTTTTATTCTCTAATTTTGCATTCAGCTGCTGGACTTGAAATACCTTGTTTGCAGTTATTTTTCAGTTGACTGAAGGTCTTTTTTTCCTAAGATGAGATAGCATCATCTGCTAATAAAGGTGACTTTGCCTCCATTTTCTGGTGCTTCACATCTATTCCTTTGTTTTATCCAATTGCATGGGCCAGGAGCATGGCCTGCTAGCATGGTGTCCTGTGGTAGTGGGGTTGGGGGACATGCATGTCCCTTTCTCCCGTGAGTGTGCTTCTGGTGTCTCTCAGCAGGCCATCTGGAGGCTGGCCTTTGTTGGTCCTACTCATGGTCTCTCTTTCCTGTCCACAGCGCAGTGACGGCCCCTATGCTCTGGTTCTGGTGCCCACGAGGGAGGTGAGTGGCCGGTCATGTGGTGTTTCCTTGACAAGGTGGTTTTATGGTTTTCTCCTACTGTGCTGACCACTGCATGCTTGACCCCCTACACAGGGACCATCCTTCTGGTTTCTATCAAGAAGAAAAGTTGAAGTACTTGTAGAAAATCAGAAGATAGGCATGGGAAGGCATTTCCTGTTGTTTAAAAACTAACGGCATTATTAAATCTCTGTTCTTTTAAAGGAATTAAAAGAAACATTTTTATAAGCAACTGATTAAAAAACAAAAACAGCTCTAGAATGAACCTTTTTAAAGAAGCTGTTGCTCCTAGAACTTCACTTACACCTGGAAGTCAGGCTGCAGTTTCTTCTTTGGTGGAACATAGTGACGTAGTGGGTGTGTCTGCTTACAGAGGCAATTTCAGATTAAGGTGTCCGGTTCCTACCAAATGACCCCGCTGCCTGCAGAGACCTGGTGGTGGAGGAGTTTCCATTGGCCTTTCTCACAGCTGCAGCCTCGTGCTCTGCTTATCGGCTTGGCCTGGGGACGGAGCGGGCACAGAGACTACCGAAATTTACAACATCGAGCTGGCTGCTTCACGAATCCTGAAGTGGAGGCATGTGTGTGTCTCCTTGGATAGCGGGATTCTGAGCCTGTCTACACCCATTTTTTTACTGAGCCTGCTGGTTTGGTTTCGTGTGAGAATTTGGGGGTGGTTACCCGCCGGGTCTTCAGATTCCCTGGCCCAGTTCTAGGACACAGCAGTCACCTCAGGTGAAGTCCCTAACTGGGGCTGTGGCAGCCCTGCCCTGGTCGACCCTTCCCACACACCACCTTTCTCTGAGGAGAGCAGGACTGTGTTGCCTTCTGCTCCATCAGTGGCTCTGGGAGCTCGGGCCAGCAGAGGGAGCACAAAACTAGGTTTGCACGTGGCCGAGAAGTCCCCGCACTCTCTACCTCACCCCCAAACCAGCAGGCCGCCAGGCCAGCCTGAGACAGGTCTGTTTTCAGAGTAGGTTCTGTGTAAAGAACTTTTTTTCCCTGAGTCTTAAATTGAGGTCCACGTTCAGATCCTAATCATTTTAGATTATCTTAAAAAAAAAAAAAACCAAAATTGGATGCTGTGCTCATGATCCATAACTTTTAATATTTGCAGCTGGCCCTGCAAAGCTTTGACACTGTCCAGAAGCTGCTTAAGGTAAGTCAAGCCTTGAGTTCAGCCTTATCTTCTTTTCTGCCATGTTGAGGAAAGATTAATATACCTCAGTCTTTATTTTCAAAGAGGTCAGAAATTATTCTTGTTTCTCTCCTCCCTGGATATCTCAGCTTCTCTAGATATACTTTGTAGGTTTTTACGATTGAAACCTTTGTAACTATTGATTTCTAGCTTAGCTAAGTTACCAGTGTTTCCTGGAGCTTACAGTCCCACAGCCTGTTCATGGTAGCCACCAGCAAGCCATATGCAGGGACTCCCAGGTGCAACCCTCAGGCCACCCCGTGGAGAGCAATACAAGGCCACTGTGGGGTCTGTTTAAGAAGGCAGAGGGAGGAGGTTTCAGAGGCAGAGCCTCTGACTCACCAGAGTCCATCATGAATTGATCTGTCCTTTATCAGAGTGGGAAGTAGGGAAGGGTATCACTTGGGTTTTATATTAGTACCCCCAGCCCTGCCAGAAAAAATTGACTTACTCAAATTTGTATTCTCTTCAGGCTCCATAGGGAGAGGTGGGGACTTGAATCATTTAGAAAGCTCACATTAGTGTCCTCCGGCGTCAGCAACTAGTTCCGTAGCTATGATCCCAGGACCTGTGTGCACATAACACCCCACACAGCAAGGAGCCTGTGTCCCCAACCCTGACCTCCTTAGGGACTACAACTTAGTCTCTGTTTTCAGGAAATGGGGCTTTGATTCTGTTCTGTTATCTGCAGCCATTCACCTGGATCGTACCTGGAGTATTGATGGGTGGAGAGAAGAGAAAATCAGAAAAGGCCAGGTAGGGGCGCTTGCTAGTTGTTCATCTGTTTGTCCTGTTTCTGTAGCAGGATGTGGTCCTGCTGAACCTGGCTTCCAGCTGTGCTTCCTCCTCCCAGTGCTAGGATAGACGGGGTGGGGGAGGTGGGGGGGTGAGGAGGGTTCCCTAGTTTGGATTTACAAAATCAAGATCTTAAGTTTACACAGTGCTTAGCAATATGCTTTTAAACCTGCACACGTTGATTCCTAATCCTGTATTCGAACTTGTAGTGGGTTTCTGTAGAAAATTGTTAACAGGTAAATCCAAAATTGCACCTGTATTTTGAACACTTTTAGTAGTTACACTGAACTCTGTATGTAGTCTCTAACTGAAGAGCAAATGTGAAACTTAACACATAAAAAAGTGTATTGATTAGGATTAGATGCAGCTGAAAATAGTTAGTAAAAACAGTGATAGCACAGACAATATAGGAGTTTTCTCTTTCACATGCAGCAAGTCTGGTGGACTAGGCCAGGGCTGGCCTGGTGCGCCAGTGTCAGAACCCAGGCTCCTTCCTTGTTTTGTATGCCCTTCGTTTCCAAGGTAACCTCTTAGTCTAGGACAGGAGCTGGAGCTCCAGCCATCATATCTAGTCCTTGTCATCAGTAACAGGAGATCATTACTCCTCTCTCCACAGGTACTTTTTGACTTGCACACTCTGCCTTTTTATCCTATTGCTAGAACATGGCATAATACCATACTTTATTGAAAGGAAAGCTTAAAAACATACCGAGCTAAAAATTGTATTGTTTATGGAATAATGGGATATAATGGTTGTTTGGGGAGTGAGAAATGAGATTTATTCTACATGGTCTATGGGGCAAAGCTTAAGCCCCTCTAATGGAAATTAAGGGTTCAGTATAAGAAAGAACATTCTAGCAATTAGAGCTCACTGGCACAGGAAGTGCAGCTTTCCCAGCTGGGGGGTTCCTGGTCACTGATGCCTTCCAGAGTTGGCTGGATGCCATCCACAGAGTGTGATAGAAGACATCGATGAGTCAGATACCCAGCACTGGATCCTGTTGACGACTCTTCAAAGTAAAGGTTTAATGACTGGAATGTGATTTTAGATCTTAATAGGCACGTTCTGTCTTCCTGTCTGCTTGTCACTATGTTTGGCCGTGACTTCGGCTGTGGCACATTGGTGCTATACATGAAGTCAGTCTACCTCCTTTGTCTTTCCTATGTTTTCTGTTTGATTTACTTTCTCTTATGATATATAATTTTAAACAGGCTCCGCAAAGGAATAAACATCCTTATCTCAACCCCTGGGCGTCTGGTGGATCACATAAAATCCACAAAGAACATTCATTTCAGACGGATGCAGTGGCTGATTTTGGATGAGGCAGATAGGTGAGTCTCCTCTGGGAAGCATGGAGGAGAAGCTGTTTCTGCTCTCCTCCAGGCAGCCGCTGGCCTGGTATCACAAGCACTCTCACGTAGATTAAATTCCTCTCTTATGATCACAGAATCCTGGACTTGGGTTTTGAAAAGGATGTCACAGTGATACTCAATGCTGTAAATGCCCAGTGCCAGAAGCGACAGAACGTCTTACTGTCCGCCACGCTCTCAGAAGGTGCATTGAAAAAGAGCTGAGGTCCTGGGGGGCCCAGGGAGGACTGGTTGTTTGCTGCACTGATGCCCAAGCTCAGAGAGAGGGGAGGAATGTCCTGAGAGTACCACTTCCAGACCAATCTGTATTCCCCACCACTTCCAGCTATCGAGGGCCTAGGGCAGGGGAGTAAGGGCAGGTCCCACCCAGTTCCAGGGTCATTGCAGGTGGGAAAGAGGAGAGAAGGCTGCCCACCGCTGGCCTATGGTCTCCCAGGGTTTCACTGAAGTTGCAACCAGAGGGACCAGGGCCTCTGTTCTAAAAAAATGGTGGTGTGCATGCAGGGCGGGTAATCTGCCCGAGTGGCACCCAAGTCTTCCAGGTGTGGCTTTTAATGTAATCCTCCTACTTCTTTCTCCCACCCTCATGGGGTAGAAATTCTTAGCTCTTCTGCAGATGGGAGAGCTAAGGCTTGGAAACATGGGATCACTCCAGCAGGCTCACCTGCATAGGGAGGCCACAGCCCTGCTTCCTTGGTCACAGTTTACTGAGCCAGGCGCCACTCCTGTGATCCCTCAGCACTGCTCCAAGGGTGTGCTGAGGAATGTCACTCCACAAAAAAAGCATCCTGTGGTCCAGTAAATAAGTTTAGGAAATGACCACCAGCTCCCCTCCTGGGAGACTCATGGTGCAAACACACTCAAGTCCTGAGAAGGCTTATGGCCAGGCAGTCTGTGGCACTGTTTTGATCTAAAACTTACTTGACCCAAGATCCTTGGGTGGCAGTGGAGTGGATGCAGACATCCTTTGGTACCTTCTGGATGATCTCCTCTTGGGGAGAGTTCAGAACATACAGACAGGTGTGGGCATTGGGCTGTGGACTGCCCCACCAAAGTGGCATTAGGACAGATCAGGGCTGGGACGTCAATCTACTTATTTTTATGGTTTTGGAGATTGAAAACAGGGGTGCTCTATCACTGAGCCACATTTATTTATTTTTGAGATAGGATAATGCTTAGTTACTTAGGGCCTTGCTGAGGCTGGTCTTGAACTTGTGATCCTCCTGCCTCAACCTCCTGAGTTGCTGGGATTTGGTGGGTGTTTGGGGGGTATGAAAGTATGAACCATTTCTGTTGTCTTCCTCACTTTTTGTCCAAGGTGTAGCACGGCTAGCTGATATCAGTTTGCACAATCCAGTCAGTATTTCTGTTCTGGACAAAAGTCATGACCAGTCTAACCCAAAGGACCAAGTGACCCAGGAAGTCACTCCTCCCCAAGCTGCTGACCAGCTGGATGCCTTTGCCATACCAGAGAGTCTCGACCAGCATGTGGCACTGGTGCCCAGCAAACTGCGACTTGTGTGCCTCGCAGCCTTCCTCCTCCAAAAGGGCAAGGTATGACTGGCCAGACTTGGCCCCGTGGGGAAGGGACACTGTTGGTTTGCTCCAGGCGTTGAGAGCAGTGGGTTGAGGAGACACACGTGTATGCGCGTACGCAGAAAGCAGACCTTGATACATCTCCTTTCAATCAGAGGTTCCAGGGTGGTGGTAAGGAGCTGGAGGTAGCGGTAGTCATGGCGTTCAGGTTGAAATCTGAGTACCTTCCCGGATTGAGTGTGGGAAGGCCATGGCCACGTCAAAGACACCGCCTCGGTGCTGGTGCTGTGTACCCATCAGCTTCAGGTGCTGGCTCGCCCTGCGCTGTGAGAAGGGGAGATTGCAGGACTTGGGATGAGGCTTCAAATTTATTTATGAATAGAGGACCGCAGTGGGTAGTATTGCATGTGATGAGCACTGAGCAAAGAAAGGCCGGAGATGGGGGTCAGCTGCACCATTAAAGTGCATTTCTTTTCTGTTTGAGGTGAGAGCTGTGTCATTTTCCTTCCCTGTGTTCTTCATAGAGTGGAGTATCAATTTTTTCTCTTGAGTAATTGAAAGCTCTGTCACCAAATCGGGGCTGGCATGATCCTGTACTTTAGAAGAGCTCATTTGATCCCAAACACCTTAAAAACTGCGCTTCTCCCCATGGTTCTGACACAGCTGGAGCAGGACCAGAAGGTGATCGTCTTCTTCTCGAGCTGCGAGCTGGTGGAGTTCCACTACCACCTCTTCCTACAGACCCTGCTGAACCGCCTGCGGGCCCCAGCCCCGGGGCAGCTGCCTTCTGCCTCACCGCAACTGGCATTCCTACGGCTACACGGCAACATGGTGCAGGAGGTGAGCGCCCGGCCCACAGCAGACTGCAGAAAATAGGGGCCCACCAGGTGGGCATGGGCGAGGGTCCCGTGGTTCTGCTTGCTCTTGCTCCGGAAGCCCACTCCTTCCACCTGAGAGCTTCCCGGCCCAGCTTGGCCCGCGTCTACCCCAGCCAGCTGTTACAGCAACAGAGTGCCACTAAGTAGCTGGCACCAGGGAAGGGTTTTGCCTTTTTAGTACCCAGTGTGTAATTAGGGCTTGATGTCTTCAAATTAAGAGCATTAATGGAGCTAAACTGTGGATCCCATATGGCACTGCTGAGCACGGCTGCTGCCATTGTCAACAAGACGCAGCGCCGCACGCTGGACGCTGGGATGGGAGGGTCCAGGGCACCACAGGGCTCCAGCCGTTCTTCTCGGAGAGTAGGACTCATGCTCGTGAGGAAGAGTGCCCCGTCTTCCTGGTCTCAAACGCTTAGTCCTACATGTCAGGAGGTCAGGGCAGAGTAGGGGAGAGGCATGCTTGCCGGAGCTGGGGAGGGGAGGACAGGCGGGCCTGGAAGGGGAGCCATCTTGTCCTCGAGGTGGGAGCAAGGTTACCTGGAGCATAGGAGGTAAGAAAGGGAGGAGGGAAACCACAACACACCACAGTGTCGGGGCTCAGTGGTGGGGGCCCCCATGGGAAGCACTGGGCTCACTGACACCCCTCACCACCACCCCCAAACCAGAGCAGCTCATAGCACTCTGAGGCGTGAACGGCCTGATGAGGTCTTAAACAAGGCCATTCCCTCTTTGTTCTCTTTGTTTTCATAGCTCAGAAAGTGGAGGCTCAAAACAGTGGCCTTATTCAAGGTCACTGGTGGACTCAGCTTATTTGCCACAGATTACATAGAGGTCCCTCAATTTCCAGCCTTTGTGAGTTTTATTAGCCGTTGATTTTTATCTTCCGCAGAGTCGAGGCTGTTGGTTCCGTCAGTCTTCTGGGTCTGTTTTCACAGAGAGGTTCTGCAAGGCGGGGCCGAGGGGCTGCGGCTGCACCTGGAGACCTCTGGGTATTGATAGTGCAGGCTTCCATAATGGGGCGGCACCAGCATGGTGCGCACCCTGGGCCCCCCGGAGGCAGAGTGCTGTGTTCTGGTCCTTTTCCATCTTTGGCCACCTGTGGGACCTCAGGTCGTCCCTCTGCCTATGGCGCTGTCTGTGAGCTGGGGACGCAGGAGCACTGCACAAGTCCCTCTTGGTGCGCTTGGGCTCACAGGGCCGCCCTTGCATTGTTCTTTTTCAGGAGTAGTTTGGCTTTTTATGCAGCTTGACAACTGTCAACCTTTTACTGATGTTATGTTATTATGGATTTGGCCTTCATAGCCTCCCATGGCTAGGTGGAGGGCAGGAGGTGGGGACCCTGCCTCCCATTTTAAATAGTCCCAGTTCCCTCTTCCTGGCCCCTGCCCCTGAGCAGTCTCCCTGGGTGCTTGACGTCCCAGATGGAGTCTGTGAGCACCAGCAGGGAGCACCTGCTGGGAGGAGGGGCTGCGTGGGGCTGCTGCCAGCACCAGGCCCAGGGTTCGTCCCTTCCCCAGCCTAAGTACGTCTGTCCTGTCTTCAAGACGTTTTCTCTGGCTTTCAGGAAATTTGCTGAATTTGAGGCTACGACATAATCAGTAAAAATCATGCTTATAGAGACTGCCACACAGTTGGCCAGACAGTGACCTGTCCATGTGAAGGTCTGAGCTCCACCCCCCAACACAGCCTGGTTCACCATGGCATGGCCTTTCCGTGTGTGCCCCTCAGGCAGGTTTCACAACCTCTCGCTGCCTCCATTGTCCATCTGGAGAGGGAGTGAGGCTTGGCCTTCACAGGGTTGTCATCAGCATGGATGAAGGATGTGCCCCAGTTGTGGGTTTCCTGAGGTGTGCTATCAATCACTAAAGCCCGCTCTGATACCAGGTCTTGGAGTTCAGCTCGATGTCTTCCTTTTTCCTGCTAAACCTCTCTGTGCCTAAAAGTAGAGCAGTAGGAAGGCAGGAATTCACAGAAGTCGTAGCTTTCCTTGGTGGCATTAGCTTGGTGTCATGAGGCCCTTTGTTCTTTGTTTTGCAGGAGAGAACATTGGTGTTCCAGGAATTCTCACGTTCCAGAACAGGCATCCTCCTCTGCACGGTACGGAGCGCTCACGTGGGGCTCGTCTGGGCTGGGGACGTGGCCAGCTCCTCGGGGGCAGTGACGTGGCTGCTCTCCTACACCTCTAGTTGCCGCTGTGCAGATTTGGCGACTTGCTCACTAATAGTGGCAGCTGTTAGTCTGAAAATGTGTGAATTGTGGTGATTTCTATCCACCAAAAACTTGTAAATTACAGCTATCGGCAGTCATTAGAGCTGAGAAAGTCTTCCCGCAGCAGAAGTGACTGCTCACCTCTGCTCACCTTTTTAAAGGAGATAGATGCTCTTGGACAGCTTCGTTTGCAGTTGTCCAGAATTGGCATTTGCCTGTGATCTTCAGGACCAGGTGATTGGGCCTCAGTGGGCCCTCCACACAGCATGGGCTTTTTTAATCTCTTGTGCTCTCAGGATTGAGAACCACACCTTAAATGATCCCTCCTCTCTGGGGACTCACTTGACCATGATGTCACTCTCTCCCAAGAGGAGGTGCCTTCTCTGCTCATGCCACATTGGATGGCATAGCATGACCCTGTGTAGTTGCGCAGGAGTCCCGCGTGTGCATTGAGGAAGTACAGCGTGCGTGCGGGGTGTGCCGAGAGCGCGGCCTGGAGGAGAGCAACCTGGAGCCACTCCCCTTGCTCAGCAAAGCACTTGCTTTTTGAGGAGCTCCTGCTGCCTATTCAGTTTTGAGAGTAGGAGAGACTGTGTTCTTTTTAAGCTTGGGCGAGTGCAGCTTTGTCTGTGTGAGTTTGTTGTGCTTGTTTAACAGAAGCTCTTCCAGGAGACTGCTTGGCGCAGTGCTGTTCTCACACAGGCATGGCAGAGGCTTGCCTGTGTGCGGCACTCAGAGCTGAGAAGCTTCTAGAATGTGTGCCTCCTGGGAGGCCAGCTGTGTCTGTCCTTCAGCCAGCTCCCCAGGCAGATACCGGCATTTGTTCCTAAACCAGCGTTAGGCTGGGGTGTGGTTCGGTGCTAGAGCACCTGCTTGTTCAAAGTCCCGGGTCCCATCCCAGTACCATAATCAACAAACAAAGGAATAGACCATCTTGAAATATCTAAAGATCCAATCCAAATGGTCTGTTGATAAGGACACTGGGAATCCATGTCATGCAGCAGTGGTATTGTCCCAGGGCCTGACCCCGAGTTACCTCACCCGCCTCGCCCCTCTCTCTACCCCCCAGCCCAACCTGCCCCTCTTTAAATTCCTTGAATGTGCCTTGAGAAGTGTTAGGTACTTTTCCTTTTGCCTCCAGTACCCAGACTCACTGGCCTGAGCCTGGTATGGGTCAGAGCCTGTGTTTCACTGCCTCGGGAGAAGGAGCCCCAGGTGCCCTGGCTGTCCCAGGGCCTCCCATGCCTGCTCACTTCTCTTCCACATGTGGCTGGGCGTTGCCAGGTCACGGGCTCCATGAAGACATGCAGTGCATTCTCCTCCATCCCGGAGTCACCCACAGAGCAGGCACTGCCTATGGTTGGCTGGTGGATGGGTGGGTCAGGAGCTCGTGTCAAGGACCACCAGTGCATGCCGCTGTCTAAACAGGCACACTTAGCCACAGCACGGTCCTGCTGTCCGCTTGGTGGTGTGTGAGGCTGAGTGGTACAGGTAGTTTCTCTGGGAGCAGTAGGAACCTTGCTGGAGGGATGTAGGTGGGGCTGTGTACCTCTCCTGTGTACATCTCCTGGTCCATTAAGTTCCTGGATTGTCCTGGGGACATTGTTGAGGCTCCCAGTACACGTAAGCCTCATGCTTTAGGGAAATGGGCGAGCCCAGGTCTCAAAGCTGTTTTTTTAGTAGCCCTAGGTGGAAAGCAGACCATTCTTTCTGAAATGTCATTTCTCATTAGGTCAAAGCATATGATCGCTTTTCCTGTTCTTCCTGGCTGCTACCTGCAGTCAAGTGATATCAGCCAGACAAAGAGCACAAGCCCTAGCCCCCTGTCAGCCTGGTGACGAGTGCACAGCCAGCTGCCTGCCCACAACCTGATTTCTTAAAGTCTGTGGTTGAGGTCCCCGGCTTCCCGGTCACTTCCAGTGCCACACCTTCCGCCACAGCCTGCGCTGCCCCTGGTCCTGCAGAGGTGACTGGAGAGTGCTGAGCTGGGTGAGCCCAGGTGCTGGTGCTGGTGCTGGAGCACTCTTATTCACTCTATGTTCCTGCCATTCCTGCTGTGTCTGTTGGCTTTCCTTTGACACTTCTGTGTTGGAGAACCACAGGGTACGTGAGACACACACGCCGTGCTAGATCGTCTTGGGGTGGGGCGGCACTGTCACTCTGCATCCTTTAGGCAGCCTGTTGCTTGCCAGGCTATCTGAAGGCTCCCCAGGAACCTCCTCGGTGCTAATGAGGAACGAGGCTGCGTCAGGATGAGGCAGATGGAGAACTGGCTTTGTCTGATAAAGGGGACTCATGTTGTTAATTGTTGCATCGGGATTTTTCTCTCCTTCATACTGTACCTTTGGCCATTTTAATATATCATCCCAATACCTTTTAACAAGGCCAGAGAAGACAGTGTCTGCCAATGTGGAAGTGAAGATGAAACCACACACGCTCCTTCCTTCGCCCTCTTTCCCTTACTCCTAGGAGCAATTAAGGGCAGTGAGTTGTTGGTGTCCATGATGATCATTCTAAAGCAAGGGCCTCGGGCCCCAGGCAGCCCTCCTGGGACCAGGCCCAGGCCTTCATAGCCTGACTGTTGGGAAGTGCTGGACTGTGTCCAGATAGAGCTGAGGTAGAACTGAAGTGTGGTCAGGGAAGGAGACCACTTGCCAAGAGAAGAAGCCTTCACACGTTGGCAATGTGAGAAGCCAGATTAAGAAGGCAGTTAGGGATAAGTAGGAAGGAGTCATTGGAAAGTTCCAGTCCTGCTTTCCCAAGGGGAACTGGGAGCAAAGAAATCAAATGTAAAACATTGAACTATCTTCAAAATAACGGCTGCTGTATAGTGAGGCACCAGCCCACGGCCAGGGAAAGAGCCTGGCCTGTGGACCGCTGCGCTGGGGCTTTGGCAGAGGGAAGAGTGCAGGAAAGGGGGTCTGGCTCAGACCAGGCCTTCTCTTGATGCATTGGCTGTCCATGGTGGCCCCTGGGAAGTGGAGCACAGAGACCTCCTCCCCAGGAGGGACAGGCCTGGATTGGGCAGCTCTAGGTTGTCCAGCACGTGTGCTGCTTTCCTTCACCTCCCTCCGCCTCCTGGGCATTTTTCCGCTTGGAACGCTGTTGTGCCTGTGCCGCTCCTAATTTCCTGTCCTCCTGGGGAAGTTCCACTGTGCCAGGCGGCTAGGAGACAAAGGAGCTGAGGTGTAGGAGTCACGGGAGTGTCAGTGCAGCACCCCTCGCACTGTAGACTTCTTGCTCTTCTCGGGGCGTGCTTGTTGGGTACAGTGGGTCTTGTGTTCTGTTTCACTGGTGTTCACGGAGGATCATCTGGAGATGGGTCGCTGTTTACTCAGTCACGCTAACTCATGTTGCCAGTTTTTTGGCGGCTCCAGCCAAGCTCTCTTGCCTCTGACAGCTCTGCACTCTCCCCTTCCTCCTCTGATTACGCAGCCCAATCTGTCACCCGGACAGCGGGGGCCTGTACCCTGCTGATGGCTTTCCACACACGGCAGTAATGACTTTTGGCAGGCCGGGAAGGCGTCAGAGGCGCGTTTGCTGCGTCCCTTCTCAGAGAGGCAGCAGGCCCCCTCTCCCTGTTAGTAAAAGTGCTTTGCGAGGTTCTTGGGTAAATAAATGAGTCATTTTAATCCAACTGACAGCCTGGCACCTGAGCAGGCTGCCTTCCATCTGTACTCCTGGGTCTCATGGAGGCAGCCAGTTGTCAAGCCCGGGCCCTCAAGGCCTTGCTGGTGAGTGTCTTTCAGAACTGACTTTAGCGATTCTTTTGCCCTAATTAGGTTAGAGGGATGGAACAGGCGGCGGCTGGACTCGCATTCTGAGAGCAGGCGGCAAACTGCGGCCTTGGGAGTCTCCAGCAATCTTTGGTTCCTGTTGATCTGGGGCTGCTGGCTGGAGCATCTGGGAAGATGGAGCATCTCCTGCTTTCCGAGGTCCCTGCCCAGGACTGGGTGGGTTCTGATGGGGCAGAAGAGTGCAAAGGGGCTTGGGTTGCCACCGCCTAATCCCCACCGTCTTCCTTCCTGACAGAAGGCAGGACACACGTGCACAGGGTTGAGGTCCTTTTTTCACATAAACTGATGCGCTCTCTACGGCAGCCTCACAAGACAGAGAGGGCTGTGCTCTAGCCTCTGTGTGGGTGGCCACTTGAGGCTCAATTGACTTGACCCTGCTAAGCCAGTGGCCATTCTCCCTGTTCTGGACCACATGACCTTCCTCCTCAGCTCCTCCTCACTCTCTGGTAGCCACGGCTGGGCATGTTCAAAAGAAGCACTCACGGCAGTGTTGGCTCAGATCTGGGCAAGAGCCCAGCAGTGGGCAGCGTCACCCATGCCAGGCAGCAGGACCCAGGAAGGCAGTGTCAGCCAGCGGTGCAGGGCTGGACCCCACCTTCAAGCAGGCTGCCGCACCCCCCGCCACTCGCCTGTCAGTGTGTAGGCGCAAGGAACTTCCCGCGGGTCGTGGCTGGCTTTGTTTTATCCAAGTTTCCTGATGGAAGTACTGAACCATCGAGCGTTAAATGTTTTACAAGGCCTATCTGTAGAGCTCAGGAGCCCCTTACCTGCAGAGCACTTAATAAGAGAAATCGTTTCCTAACAAGAGCTTTGCAGGTGGGAGAGTCCGTCAGCTTTCCTGAAGCCGTCGACTGTTGGTGTAGCCAAGCTGGTCCTCTCCTCTCAGATGGGAACACTCAGAACATCCTCTCTCGGGGCACTTGTGCCAACTGAAAACACTGCGGGTGGTTGACACACCTGTGTGCCAGCCTCTGCTTGCACACTTACAGGCGCAGCCTAGCACACTCCAAAGGAACTAGGAGTTCTCAGAGCGAGTAGAGAAAGTGGTCTCTGAGGTACCTCCGGGTGAGTGGTACAGGACAGCGCCTCATTGAGTCCCCCCTCACTCTGGGCGTACAGCAAGCCTGGTCTTACAGGATCTTGGCATGGGATTACTTTTCAAAAAAGCCATGTATATCATCTGAATCCTGGTGATACTTAAAAGTGGTGGAGAACCTGTTCCTTACTGAAGGGTTTCCCAGCTGTGCAGTGGAGGGGAGGGGTGATAGAAAGCCATCCTTTGTGCCATCAGGGCCACTATTGGTGCAGACAAGAGCTTCAGTGGAAGCCGGAGCACTCAGCGGAGGTATCTTACGAAGCCGTGTTCCCAGGTCTCCATGTTCCACCTCCCATTCCCTAGTCATTGCCAAGAGGAAAAGTCCCCTCGCAGTGTCAGAGCCAGGTCCTTGCCCGCCCAGGTCAGACCACCCTGACGCCTCCCATAAGGGGTCCTGGGACACACACCACCCTCAAGTCGTGTCCTGCCAGCGTGTGGTGTTCCTCGAGACAGCCACACTCTTGAGAATGTCTAAAGGAGTCAGTGCAAGGCAGGGGTGCTCTGGTGAAATCTGGGGGACGTCGCAGGGGTCTGGGCTGTGTGTATTTGTGTGAGGTCCTGGGACTAAACCAAGGGTGCTTAACCACTGAGCCACATCCCCAGCCCTTTTTATTTTGAGACAGTGTCTCACTAAGTTGCCCGGGCTGGCCTTGAACTTGCAGTCCTCCTCCCTTGGCCTCCCCAGTTGCTGGGTTCCAGGCGCATGCCGCCACACCCAGCTGTGTGATCTGCTACACGCTCCTGGATGGGCTGTTCACGAGGAGGTGGTTTTGTTCAGTGTTGGATTTCCTAAAGCGTGCTGGTGTAATGGTTATGTGGCGTGTCCTTTCACTTAGGAGATACCCAGTGAGTCTCCAGGGCTGAAAGGTGGTGGCAGTGTGTCGGGGAGGAGGAGGCGCTGAGCAGCAGCAGCTGCTGGCTCTGACCATGCCACCGATGCCCTCTGGGGCAGTCTTCAGCTCACCTGGGCTCTGATTTTCTGAATCAGAATTTTGGGGGAAATGATAGCCAAACCAAGGGAAACGCAAAGAGAAAGTAAAATCACCTTGTCACCTTGGATCCCCCAGTCCAGAGATGACCCCAGCTGGCCGCTGTGCCCGCCAACACCACCCGTGCCTGCTTGAGCCATCTGTCCGTCTGTCTCTAGTGGTTTGGTTTTTCTTGCTCCTTTCTTCCCCCAATGCTGGTTGAAGGCATCAGGTGGCAGGTTCTTGGAGTCCTCCTCGGTTGAATTTGGCCAAGAGTGCCCCCGGGGTGGTTCAGTGTCGTCCTCCCTGTTTGTTGCTGGAGTTGGACCTGGACTCTGAGGTCTGGGTGTCAGTTCTGCCGTTGGTCCCTTTGACGAGAAACAGTACAGGCAACGCTGCTCACTGCTGCCCGAGAGCTGCTTCTCCAGCTGCTCTTAGCGGCTCCACTTGCTTCTTAATTAGCCCGCATGTTCTCAAGTCCACGTTCACTGAAGGAGCCAGTTTGACTTCCACCTGTGCCTCCTCCCCTGTCCTCTTCCTGTCCTATAGCTGTTTCCATAAGCTTTGGGGGTTTTCCTGGAATATAAGCAGGTGTGTGGGTGTCCCCCAGTTTCCAATGTGGGAGCGCACCCGGCCCACTCAGCACATCCTGGCGTGTCCAAACCAGTGTCCTGAAGCCGCTCTTTCTAGTCCACTACATGGAGCGCAGCCGTCTCACGCGGACTGTCTCCTCACACTGCGGGAGGAAGAGCCTTGTGTGTGTGTGATTTTGTGTTCTTGCCGTTGTACCCTTCTAGAATTGAGATGGTTCTGGACTGCAGGGCAAGTGCAGGGCAGTGTGCATGGGATTTTGAATTACCAAATTCCCCACCGCAGGGCTTGGTACCATTTTGCATTCCCACCGTCTGTGGGCAAGGGGGACATGGTGTCTTTTTTAATGGTGGAATGTAGCCTAATCTAACATGGCCTTGGAGAAGTCCCCCTCTTCTTAGCCTGGACATGTTATTTCACCTCTTAACTTTGGTTGCCTCATCTGCCAGATGGGGTTGTAGTTGTTTTAAAGAGCTGTTTTGAGGGTTCATTGAAATAATGCAGGTAAACCAGTGCTCAACCCAGTGCCTGGTGTGTAGTAAGTGCTCAGTAAATGTCAAGTGAAAATGTTCCTGTTAGACCAAAGGGGATGCTGAGTGAAGATTATTGATAGACTGGGAGCGTCCGTTTTCCAGGCCCTCACCAGCAAGAGACTTAGAGGGAACAGAGAGTTTTTGCTCTCTGGGCAGTGACCAGTTAAAAAGAAAAAAGAAAATCTCAGTTGTTTTGGTCTTGGCTGTCTGGTTTAGCCTTTGAAGTGATCAGCAGGCCTGGCCTGCCTTCTGACTTAGCGCTCAGAAAGGACAGCGGCATGCTTCACCCTTACTGCCCTTGAGCTTGACAGACAGTCCTGAGGAACACTTGGCAGCTTGCAACACCTCCCCCACCCCTGTGAGTCCCTTGAGGAGGGGCATTCCAGCAGCCTTACTGCTGGCCACTGGCGTTGCTGGGAGGGTGGGTGGGGCAACAGTCCATGGACACTTGCTTCATGGGCAACTATTCAGATGGAAGGTGCAGTCCTTTCGCAACCTGAGTTATTAAAGGGTTCTGTTGAACTTGCCACAAAGATTTTTTTTTAGCCACAGAGGGATGTGAGTGGGTTCCTGACCTACTGAAGGTGTGTCTTGAGTTGTGTGTGGGCAGGTTGTGGGGTGAATGAACCTTCAGGGTGTATCCATGACCCCCAGAAAGTCAATAGACTCCTTCTAAACATGCTCTTTTTTCTCTTAAAGGATGTTGCAGCTCGTGGCTTAGATCTCCCACAAGTCACATGGATTGTTCAGGTAATTTTTTAGTAGTTCAGGTGTGAACTTGAGGCTGGAATGTATGATTATGAACAGATGCATTGGCCTTAAGTAGAATAATTATATCACCCTCTTGGGTGTTGCCCTGGTAACCAGGCAGCAGTCAGCCCTGTCTGCACAAGTCTTCTGGTATCTTTCCTTAACCCATCCCACCTCCCTGCTGTAGCAGAACAGCCAGGAAGGAGGTGGCAGCCTTGCTTCTGGACCGGTGTCACACACCAAAGTTTTAACAGTCTGAAAATCACAGGAATTATCTGTGCCCTTGGGAGGCCTCATTGTGTCCAGAAGGAGATGGCTCAGCTGTCCTGAGAACCATGTCCATGTGCATTGGCCTGCAGGGAACAATTAAGTCCCTGACACCATCTTATACACACCCCTAGCCAGAGACACTTTGCCAGTGGGTGCAGATGTCAGCGCTGGAGTCCGGTGGGTTTGCTTCCTGTTGTTCTTGGTTAGTGTGCAGAATGGTGTCTTCAGGCCTTTCTGTATGTGGCCAGAGGACACTGGCCTGTTTACGAGAATCGGGGTTTGTTCACATTTTAGTGGAACTGCATGCCTGTGTTTGGCTGGGGAACCTGATCTGCTCGTAACAGGTGATCACTTGGGGACTAGAGGCGTTGTGTCTTCTTTTTTGCTGGCCAGAGTGAATGAAAAATGAGAGGAGAGGATAATTTTAATGTGCCGGAGGTCAGACACAAAATTGATCATGGAGGGTAGTGTACTATAAATATTGATTAGTTTAACATCCTTGGCCTCCTGTACAGTGGGCTCACATTGGCCCTCTGATCTGTGGTTCATGTAGCAGCAGAGAGAAAAGGAAACAGTGACTCTGGTCATTTACCTTTAATGATGACAGTTACTGCTGTCAATGACAAACACACTGTGCCAGGGTGCTGCCGAGTTGGCGTGGCTCTTACTCCTGTGTCAGGAACGCTCCCCTGGAGCAGAAGCTTGGCTGGCCCCCCTGCAGGGGACTGAGGCCCGCTCCCGGGGCCAGCAGTAGAGGTGGACTCTGCCGGCACCATGGCCAGCCCCCTTCCTGTCCATGCCACCTGGCGTCCTCTGCTGCCTTATCCCTGCTGCTGCCTCCTGAGGAGGGGGCCGAGAAGCCTACCCCACCTGCTGCACCTGCAGCTTGCACATCCCCTCAGGGAAAAAATGCAAGAGGAAAATGAAGAGACCCATGGAGAGGGGAGATTAGAAAGGAGGCACTGGGATGAGTGATGTCTGGTTCATCTGGAACCTGGCCACAGCTCGCTTGGTGTGTCGGAGCCTGTTACTTCAGTGAGGCCAGGAGTGTCAGGACGGAGTAACTTTTCCCTGTGGTTGTTAGGGTGACCATAGCACCGGGGTCTAATTCTTGGGCTACCTGCGGCAGGAGAGGGGGTTTGCACTTGTAATTATCGGCAGTCCCTTGATCTGTGAACACCTTTGTTTCTGTTGCCCTGTTCAGTACAGCGCCCCGTCTTCACCTGCAGAGTACATCCACCGGATTGGAAGAACCGCCCGGATTGGCTGCCACGGGAGCAGCCTGCTCATCTTGGCTCCTTCGGAGGCAGAATATGTCAACTCGTTGGCTGCTCACAAAATCAAGTGAGTCAGAAGCCCGCATGGGCTTCGGCTGATCTCACCTAATTAACTTCCTGTCGCCTTTTACAGTGCATGGCCCTTGTAAGCTGCCGACGAGCCATTAACCCTTGTGATCCCTAAATGAGTCCCAGAATAGCCAGTGGCAAAAACTAGAGCCCTTAATGCCATCAGCACCTGACAGTTCCCATTGTGCTGCCAGCGGAGTCAGGATCCGTGGCACTTGGCTTCTCCTGAATAACGAGGCCCGTGTTGGTATCTCTGACTCTGAGTGAGCATGCCCAGCCTTCCAGCCAGCTCCTCAGGCCCTTCCTATTCCCAGTCTTCATTTCCTGTAGTTAATGTTTATAACTTCAAAACAATAAGCTTCTTACCTACAGGTGACCCTGGGAGATATTTAGAGGCAGTTGAAAGGGCTCTGACTGCATGTCAACGGCCAGGATTTCCCAGCCACCACCTCAGTGTAGCAGTCAGACAGCAGACCTCAGGCCTGGGAGGGTACGGAAGCCCCCAGAAGCGACTCACTGGTCCACACATGGATATGTTGTGTCTTCCATGAAATCCTGGCACCTGCAGTAGCAGTTCAGTGACGGGCTCCTAAAGGTGTGCTGTTTTCATCACAGATCTGCTTTGAAGGATTTCTTGTGCTCCAACACAGCACAGTGATGGATAAAGGTATTTTTGGAAGCACAGAAAGAGCCCTGTGTCTGCCCAAATGGCAGTTGTAACTCTCAGAGCAGCACTGAGGTCGGGGCTGTTCTGGGCACATCTCAGCTGTGCTCCTAGCTGCTACGGCTGGTTTCCTATAGTTTCTGTGCCCAGCCCGAGGTTTTATGTAAAACAACAAATAAAACTATGTGACATTTTCCCCTCTAAAGTACAGAGCTGGGAAAATGACTGTACTATACATCAGAACTAAACTGTTCAAGCAGACCAGGGGCCAGGTCTGATTGCTGGCCACCCCCAGGCCAGGGCTGCATGTCTGTCCCAGCAGTTCCCCTCATGCTCTCAGCCTTCAGAGCCCTGCAGGCAGTAAGACTTTCAAAACCCTTTTAAGGCTGTTCGTGTGGACTGAGGCTTGTTCTCAAAACATACCTGCCTCCTTTGGTGATCAGGGGTGAGTAGTAACCTGATCCTGGGGTTAATTTCAGATGGGCCAAAATAAAGACTTTGGGTTTTTCTCTTCCTAACTTGTTCTTTTCCCAATATGATCTGTCATTGAAGGAGTGGTTTTTTGTTTTAGGAAGGTGTGCATGGTTTTGTTATGAGAGAAATTGCATGTCGGGCTGGGGATGTGGCTCAAGTGGTAGTGCGCTCACCTGGCGTGTGTGCGGCCCGGGTTCGATCCTCAGCACCACATACATACAAAGCTGTTGTTTGTGTCCGCGGAGAACTAAAAAATAAAATTTTTTTTTAGAAAAGTAACAATTAAAAAAAAAAAGAAAGAAATTGCATGTCAATCAGTTGATGGCACCTCAGGCAGAGGCGCTTAGAAAGTCCTGGCTGGGTTGAGATGGAAGCCCACTGATGGAGCCAGGTCCTCTTCTTCCACACTGCAGTTCCCATTTCCTGTCCCTCTCTGGTTCCTGGTTTGTGTGTCTCTGTACCCATTCATGTCAGCCTAGTCTCCTTGGGAAGCAGGGCCACAGTTGTAGGCCACGTGGCCTTCCCAGGGCCTGAGCGAGCAGCATGGTTCTTTTATGGTCCTTTTTTTAAAAAAGATTAATAAATAAACACATTCATGTCTATTGCTATGAAGGGTTCAGATGTAAATCTAAAGCTAGAAAGGGAGAGCAGTGTTAGCCAGGCAGGAGTTATGGGGGCCAGGTACGATCAAGACGGGACAAGTGCAAGCCATTCAGTGCTGTTGTCTGGAAAGCAGACCACCAGCCTCAGTGTGAGACTCTACCAGCTCACTGGGCGTGCAGGGCCGGGGCCGGGCCCGGGCCCTGGGAAGGGTGCCTTGTGCTTCCCAGAGGGGGAGCCAGGGTTTCCGGGGCCACATGGAACTTCACAAGGAGACTGGGTTGGCTAGCCAGACGGTGGAGTCGCACGCCTGTCTTGACTCCTGCTTGAGGGAAGGCTGCACACTGCCTGTCTACAGGTAAACTGTGTCTTTGATTTAATACAAGATAAAATAAAACCTAGTGAGAACTGGTTCAGAGTGCAGTGGGAAGGTGCAGACTGGAACATTTCTGGAATCCAAAAGGCACACTCTAAAGATTAAAAGAAGGTGCAGAAGGAGGAAGCGTTTTGTGCCTGAGCACACAGGAGCCAGGCGGCAGGACGCCGGGTGGCTGATGAATTGCAGAGAAGATGCAGGAAGGCAGGCAGAGGCTCTTGGCAGCAAGGGCATCACAACAAATTGCTGCCTACCTTCATGTACGGGTGCTGTAGAGCGCGTCCTGACAATTAAGTTTAGCAGACCAGGCAAGAGACAGGTGCCCTGGGCCACTGCTGCCATGCCTGTGTGCCCAGAACTCTGCCTCTGTGTCCTTTCGACTTCTCTGTGTTCACCAGCTCCCTGACTTTCCCTGCTTCCCCTTTAAATGTGTTGATAATGAAAGTCATGACTTCATTAAAATGAAAATTCTGCATCAAACTGTGTATATCTTAGATCAGGCATAAGACAGACCCTGGATTTATTTATTTTTTCCATCTCTTCCCCTGGCAAGGTGGGTGATTCAGATCTGTTGATAAGACCATAAATAATCACTGTAGATTTGCTTTGTTCCTCAGAAGCAGCAATTTCTTAGAAATACAGAAAGAAGGCCCTTTGAAACTGGAAATCACTCCAGTTCCTTCTCGGTTCCTGAGTGCCTAGGGCAGTGCTGTTGGTGCTCCAGGTGCCCGGGCCATGCTCTGGCCAGGGGGAAACACTGGTGCGTTGAGAGCGTGGCCTGGCTGTGGCCTGTTTCACTGTGTGTGTCCCTGGCTGTGGGGACATCATTCTTCCTTCCTTTCCCCCTATTTCAAGGTTTCACTCCAAGTTCTTAGGTTCTTTTCCATTTGTACCCTGCCCCCCAAGAAGAAAGGTGCTGGAGAGAGCCAGGTGAGCTAGAGCAGGACAGGACAGGGCTGTTGGCACCTTGAGGCTCCCGGGAGGAATGGGAGCAGCCCCAGGTGCTGTGCCCGCCTCTGCCTCCTGCCTTGACTCTGGCCACTGCCAGGGCCTCTCCTCTGTGGAGCGGGGACTGGGGTGGGGGCTGGGGAGCCAGTGGCAGTCTCAGTAGTGGTGTTTTCATGGCCTTGTGGGGGGACCTGTGGGGAAAGGGAGGACAGTCCCCTACCGTTGCAGAGGCTGCTGCTCGTGCTGCAGTGTGCTGGTACATTAAAAAGACTGCAACGGATCATTTATCTTTTTATCTGTTTTCTCACTCAGAATTGTTTGTTCCCTTTCTCTTCTCCCTGGAAGTAGTATTTCAGAGTTTAGATGGCACTCTCGACTGTGGGCCTGTGTGTGCGCCCTGCTCAGGGCAGTGGCCTTGGGCTCACAGGTGCAGTGTGGGCTTTCCAAACTTGTCTCTTGTTCTGCTCAACTTTTGTTCACAACGGAAGCCGGTTCTGGTTTTAGCAGTTTGTGCGTAGGTCTTTGGCCCTTACCCTGAACATGTAAGCAATGGAATAGTGGCGGTTCTCCATGGCAGGAGCAAAAGAGGTGCTGAGCCCAGGGGCTGGGCGACTGGCACCTGTCACTGGAGTGTCCCCAGCATGGAGGGCCTTTGCCTGCCCGCTCTGCCTTTCTTCTCCTTCCTCCTTTCACATTCTCTAGGATGTTTATTTCATCGTCTGCTCAAGTCGGGGTAGGACTTCAACAAACAAGCCTACTTGTGTGGCATTCAAGATTGATTAAGAAATGATGGCACTGTCCCTCTGAAGGGGATTGTAGATGTGCACTGTCTTCCATTCAGAGAGGAGGGCAGTTGCTGGACGTTCCAAGAGCTGCAGTGTCATGGGGGTCCTCTTGTGCATGGATTAGCTTGAAGATGGACGGACCGGTTTTATGCATTGGGCTTGGAGTGTTTTTGAAAAAGTAGAGTGTTTACTTTGATGTGTGTTTCCTTTTACAGCATTTCTGAAGTTAAGATGGAAGATATTTTGTCCATTCTGACAAAGGATGATTGTTTTAAAGGAAGAAAAAGAAACCACGTGAGTCTTGTTGATTGTGCTTGTTGCTGGCCGCTAAGGCTCATATCTGGCCCTGGGGTGGTGGAGACCTTGTGTGGGAGGTGCCAGTTTTCTTCTGTTAAGCAGAACTCACATCTCAAGGATCATGACCATCAGAGGAGGCCAAGTCTCAGATGTGTCTCTTCCTCCTCTGAGCTGGATGTGTGCGCTGGTCCCGTCCAGCTAATGGGCTTCAGTCTGTTCAGTCCAGGTGGCAGCAGGCTCCCCAGAAAGATCTGGGCCTGAGCCAGTCCAGGGCAGTGTCACAGCTTAGCCCTGGGGGTCATTTTGAGGGTGATTTAACTAAATGCTCCTGCCCTGGACAGCAAGGCAGGAGGAAGGCATCTATCTGCCTCACACACGCTGCTTCACCTGGTTTGTAACGCATGGTGCCGCCACACAGGAAGAAGATCCAGTTTCCGTGTGGTTCTGGGTGGAGGCTGTGAGTCGTTCAGTGGCCCTGAGCACCCTGCACAGCTGCCTGTCAGGCCCACCCACCCTCAGGTCCCCTGTCCCCTCCAGCCCTTCACTCAGTGTGCCCTTACCCACACATGTGGGTAGTGTCACTGGGTGTGAGTTTGTCACATTTCTTGACTGTTTTGCATTTGGCTTCTTATGCCTGAGGATGGAGTACACAGTCAGTCTGCAGTGTGTCTTCACGTGGATCAGACACACTCGAGACAGAGACTGGCCATGACTGGTCCTGGCCTGAGTTATAAGTTGACCTGATCAGAGGAGAGGAGAAGGTCACAAGGTTTGCTGCTGGAGTGTGTGTCTGGAACCTGGGAATGTGCCAAGCTGTTACCTCACAGGATCCCATTTAGTCCTCCTAGCAGCCCCGTGAGGTCACCGTTGCCCCAGCTGACAGTGAGGAGATTGAGACTTGGCGAGGAGCTTTCATGAGGGCAGAATGGCACTCACTGATCCTTCTGGGACTCAAAACCAGGTCATTGGGATTCACAGGTGGCACGTTGGACTGTGCTTTGTGCCTTGTACGCACGACCAGAAATATGAAATGGTATTGCTTGGTTTTGTTTTGGCAGTACTGGGGATCAAACCGGGAGCCTCACGTGTGCTAGGCAAGCGCTGTACTTCTGAGCTCCGTCCCCAGCCCTAAACTGCCTTTTAGATTTGTAATCTTAGCCACTTTCACAGGTGTGAAGTCTCGTCAGTAAATGGTACTGCAACAAAGATAGTGGTGATCAAAAAGAACTATTATAGACATAGTTCATCAACAAGGTGTGTGAGCAATTTTTCTTATAAAACATCCCTGCTCTACTAGACCTCAGACCATCCCTTGTCACGAGTATGTTCATTGTTAGAATGACCAGGCACCGTGTAGATGATCATCGGTCTTGACACACTTTGTCACTTGGAACTACTGCAAGTTCTCGCTTAGGGTTTTTGTGGGCTTTAATGACCCACAGTGCTTCATCATGGCTGCAGTTGGCTCTGTGGGATCAGCTGGGAGCATGGGGTGCTGCAGAGCTAGCAGGGCACAGTGGTTGGGGCAAGGCCTCAGACTCCTCATCTGTCGCCAGCTGTGAGGCTCTGGCAGGTCTTGGACCTTGCTAAGCTGGCCCCTTCCTGTGCAGAATCAGGAGACAATAGTATCCTTCTTGAAAGGAGCACAGAGGGCTGGGTGGGTACAGGGCACAGCCCAGAAAAGTCTGTCCCTTACTGCTATTAATGTTGTAGCCACCCAAGAAGGTAGCAGGTGTAAAGTTGAAGCCCAGACTCAGTGACATGGGTCTCAGTGCACTGCTTTTTTTTTTTTTTCTATTTCTTAATAAGTGGAACATTTGCATCTGCCTGCTCTCCAGAAATAAAAGCCAGAAGGGAAATTGCAAAATGAGAGAGTAAAAGTTGGCTCCGGCTTGACCATACATGTCCGGTTGCAGACCCGCTTTGGTTTCAGTCTTTATCTGGGAACATAGACCTCTCTCTCTCCAGGGAATGAGCATTGTGTCCGTCTGTAGAGCCTTTCCTGAAGGACACGTCCCCAAGCAGGGCACAGAGCAGCTGTATTCCCTCTGCCCTTTCAGCAACAGCCTACGCCATTTTTTTAACATCTGCCCTTCTGTGGACTTGCAGCATCAATTCTTCTCTTAAGCCTTTTCCCTGGCTGGAGGCCAGCCTCAGGGATCTCCCGAGCCTGGAAGAGCCGTTGTCGGTCTCAGGGAAGAGCGTCCCGAGTCGGCAGACCTGCGTTTGAATCCTTGCTTCACAGCTGGTAGCTCTGTGGCCTGGGCATTGTGGAGAGTGGGAGTGCCCGCTCAGAGCACTGCTGTGGGGTTTAAACAGCAGGGTGGAGAGAGCTTGCAGGTTGTGGGCCTGATCTTAAGGCCAGAGCCGGTCTTAGCCCATCGTGCAAGGCCTGCCTAAGCTGGAAGTGAGCTTAGATACAACACTTTAAAGATGTGGTCTTTTTTTAAAAAAAAAAGGAAAAAATGTTAATAAGCAGGGTAGGAGTTTCCCTGACACTAAATAGTGAACTTAGAAAATTAAATTAATCATATGGGGTTCCAGATGTCATGCCATTAAAGAATTTAATTGTGGAACTGAGTTTAACTTATATTTAAAAAAGAAAAAAAGAAAAGAAAAACTGAATCAGTTACTAATTACATAGGTCTGTATCCTGGGAAAGTGGCTTATGTGTGCAGTCAGTGTCGGAGGTGGGAAGAGCAAGGCAGATGCTGAGCACCGCCGCTTGCTCTGTTCCGCATGAGACGCAGGCGCCCTGGCGCCCCTTGCTGCTGGGGCTCTGGCAGGGCACCAGGGCTCGTGTATGTGGCTAGTAGTCTAGCCCCTCACATAGAGCTCGGGCCCTGGCTGCAGCACCCTCCTCTGCACCCAGCTCGACTGGAGTCCATGGTAAATGTCCCTTTGGCACATGAGTTTTTGGGCTTCTGTGAACAGAAAGCGAGTGAGTGAGGCATCTGTAAAATGTATATTTCATATTTAGGTGTATGAAATATACATAGCTTCCTCTTGGTGTGTGTGTTCACCCACCTACAAAGAGAATAAATTTGATCTTTCAACCTGACTGGGAGGCACTCAGAAGGTTCTGGGGACCGAGGGGTAAAGCGCAGCTTGGCAGGCAAGTGATTAAAACAAAATCTTTCCATTTAGTTAAAGATACCTTGGAAGTGGGCGATGTGGGCAACGCTATGGCACGTGCCTTCCCCACCACTGCCCCCCAACACTGCAGCAGACTGGTCCTGCCCAGTTACCAGGCACCTCTGCTGCTGCGCTTTGGGTGTGAGATCTTCACCACCAGAGAGAGCATGCACACCCCAGCGTATTTTTCTTACAAATTTTTTGTCCTGTGAGGTGTGCCTACAGACTTACCCTGACAACAGACTGTCACAGCCTTGCGAGGTGTTAAAGTCAAATCAGAGCCCTGGCTCGGCGTTCCACTGGTCTGCTCTTTCCAAGATCTGCAGGACGTTAGAGATAGAGGCAGACTGTGCGGATGGACAGTTGGATGTGTGTCTTCCTAAACTACCTGTGGGCTGCTGGTTGCAGACTAGCGTCATTAACCAGCTCCGAGTTCCAGGGCATCTGTGTGCCCGCGGTTTTGACCCACTCTCATTATAGGTACCTGCCTGTCTTCTGGGGTGGCAGCGCCACGCAGTTCTGCCCCATCTTCAGTTTCCACCTGGCTTCGGCCCACCCCGCCGCCCCGCAGACAGCTGAAAAGCCCCCATTGGTTCTCAGGAGGGCTGTCTTAGAGTATTTCTGCAGGTGGGGGTAGGGAGAATACGACATGTTTTTTCCTAAGTATAATATGTTTTCTGTCATTAACTTTTTCTTATATTTTACTAAAACTGACCTCATCATTTCAAATATGTGAACCTAGTTTGATTGTTTTTTTCTACATATTTCACTTGTATATACACTTGCGTTATATATATATGGTGGGGTTTTTTTTTTTTTTTTTTTTGGTTGGGAAGAAAAGATGCCTCATTTTGAAACCTAAAGGGGGGAATAAGAAAAGCCCTTTGTAATATATTGCCATATTATCACTAAATCCCCTGACAGTTGTGACACAGAAGCAAGTCACCTGTCACTTAAGCTTGAGGTCTCTTTAATTTTCTCCTGGAATTCGCACCAGGCTGTCTTTAATTTGAGGCCTTTATTGGAATTCTGAACCTCCCTGCCTCCCTGGCTCTCAGATCTATTCTGAGAGCTGTTACAGAATGTATACAGTAACCAACAGAAGGGATTCAGAGCGGGCTGCGGCTCTGTTTACTTAACACTCTAGAGGGATTCTTGTGCTTATTCGGTCCTGGCTGCCCGGCTTTCAATATCGCTTTGACAACCATTCTGCCCTTCTCATTAATTTTAAACAGTTAAAACACAGGAAAAAGAGGAAAAAGTTTTCATTATTAAAGTGCTTTACTTTTTAATAACAGAGGATTCTGTCCGCCAGGGGAAAGGGCATTCTCACTAATTTCACATTCATATTAAAAGAAGGACGCGGGCAAGGTGACAGTGGTGCTGCTGAGTTGGCTTCAACGAAAGGAGGGCAGTGGGAAGAGTTTGCATTTCACATCGGTTAAGGGGGGTCCTTGTTAATGACAATAGCAAATGTCCACTTTGGTAACACGGTTTCTGAGTGACTCTGCTCTTGACATCCTAGTGGATATAACCCTTAGGGGGACCACATACGGTGGAATCAGCCAGACTGTCATCAGCCAAACAGGTCGCAGGGGTGATTTGACTACACTGAAAACATTCCAGGTTCTTAAGTCTCTATTAATACAGAGAAGAGTGTCGATCCAGAGAGAGGCTCTCACCTGTCCCCCTTGTTCTTCCTCAGTCACCCTGAAGGGTGGAAGGGAGCCAGGGGTGTCCAGGTTGGGCCCGAATCTGGCACAAATACCCCATGCTCCAGAGGTGAGGGTGGAGTCCTAGGTCCATGTGGACTTTCCCCCGCAGCCTGTGTGAGGCTGGGGTGCAAGTGGGGCCACACATGGGCACCGCTCCATGGTGGGCATCACCTGGCCTGTGGGCCTCGAAGGCTCAGGAGGCTGTGCTCTCAAATCCCAAATGCACCTTCAGTGGGAAGCATCGTGTTTGTGTTAAGATATAGGAGACAAAATTCACTACTTTTTAGTGGAGATATTTAAAAAGTAAATCTTTTCTCTGGTATTATGAAATATGAAAAGGAAGTAATTTTACCCTTCATGACCCTTCTCCATCTGTGGGTCTGTGAGTAGAAACAGTACTACGGTGGCCCAGACTTGCTGTGAAAGCCCGGTCCGTGATGGGCTGCAGGGAACTGGCTCTAGGAACAAACAGGAAACTTCTAGGGATCCAGGGAGTATGCCCTGCAAACCCAGGATAGCAGTGACTTTAAGGCTGAATTTCAGGAGGTCACTGGAATGCCCTTAGGGAGGAATTGCCATTTTCTACTGGTGAGTGGGAGGGAAGGGAGAAAATTTACAGAAATTTATTTGAAAACAGCTTGTATTCAGTGGTGTTTTCAATACTAAATTGGAAAATTCCAGGGTGTCTCCAATGGTCTTTGGTTTTGAACATGAGTGATAAGAGGTCATGAGGAAAAGTAAGTAAATAAACACACAGACCCAGTCTGCCCCTCGCAAAGCCACCCGCATCTTTGCTTGACTTCAACATCTTGATAGCTCTCTTTTTTCCCTAGTAATATTGAGAGGATTACCCTCGTTGGCCCCTGGGTGGTTACTGTGTGGTTTTACTGTTATTAAATCTATTATAAACTGCTTCATTATTCCTGACTTCAACTCTGTCTCTCCTTTAATCCTTCCATCACCCTCCCAGAAATCCCACGCTGCTGGCCCCCAGGAAATCCGTGAGCGAGCCACAGTCTTGCAGACAGTATTTGAAGATTACGTACACTCCAGTGAGAGGATGGTCTCCTGGGCAAAGAAAGGTCAGTGGATTTCGCAGGTGATTGTGGAGGACCAGCCCAGCAGGGTGCTGACCCAGCCTCACTCCCACCCCCGCTCGGGTGCAGAGGCACCAGCCATCACTGCTTCCCGTGAAGCCTGCAGTCTCCGTGATTCTGCAGGCCTGGAAGGAGGCATGAGGGGCTTTAGAGTGATATTAAATGTTAATTTCACCCTTCCCCATCCTGTGCACAAATGAGGCTTTACCTTGGCTTACATCAGGGCCAGAGCTTTGACCCAAGTCTACAACTTGGAACTTGGAGATCTATTTTCCTTCTTTGAACACTAAATGGAAGAGGTACGACACATCAGTTGAATTAGTAGTTGAGGTGGAAATTATAAGTAAAGCCCCGGGCTTCAAGTGTTCAATCCAGACAGTTCCTGTTTGAAGATGCACAGAGGGGTGGCCTCTGCTGTGGGGGCGTGGGCCATGGAAGGTGGCATGCTGGCAGTGGCCAGACCCTCTGTAGGAGCAGTTGACCCGGGTAGCCAGTGCTGGGTGAGCTGGGCAGGGTGGAGGAATGTCTTGGCTGGCAATGGTCGCTGTGCTGACACGCCTTCCTTCGAATAGAAGAAGCAGAGTTCTTTCTGTTACCCACGATTTTGAGAAAAATGCCCATCAGGCTAACCACTATAAAAACTCTGTGGCACCCTTTTTTTCTTTTTTAAATAGAAGTATCTGGGGCTGGGGTTGTGGTTCAGTGTGAGAGCGCTCGCCTAGCACCTGCAGGGCCCTGGGTTCGCTCCTCAGCACCCCATAAAAATAAATAACATAAAGGTATTGTGTCCAACTACAACTAAAAAATAAATATTTTTTTTAAATAGAAGTATCTTTTAAAATCATTTATTCAACAATAATTGTTGAATCGGACACCATTCTGGGTGCTTCAGAGACATGAAGGACCAGGACAGACATCCTCACCCCCGTGAAGCCAGAGCGTTAGTGGGCACAGAAGCAGCAGCGAGCATGAAGGTAGTAAGTTGGTGGCAGCGCGGTGAGGGCTGTGGGGAAGTAGAGCAGGGCAGGGGATGAAGGGGCCACAAGACAGCCTGCCTCTTAAACAGGAGGCTCAGATTACGCCCCATCGTGGAGGGGAACCCAAGAGCAAGATGAGCAAGAGCAGGAAGGGTGCTCCAGGTGTGGGACCACCTGGCAGCTGAGCTCAAGGAGGGAGGGTGGGGAGGTGGAGTCACAGAGGGCCTGGAGGTGGCGCTGAGGTTTGGGGTTTGACTCTCAATGGGACAGACGCATCAGACGGCTATCAGCAGGGACACAGTACGATCAGGCTCCTGTCCTGAAAGATGAGCTGGCTTCTGGGGAGACAGGGCCCTTGGGGGCAGGGGCAGCCATCATGAGACTGGGCATGGACTAGTGTGGCCATCATGGATCAGGTGAATAAAACAAGTGCCAGAGGCAGAGCACTTGCCTCCCATGCATGAGGCCCTGGGTTCCATCCCCAGCACTGACCCAAAATCCCACTGCAGGTTATCAGTTATTTCAAGTAACTGTCATGTACCTTAGCACATCATGAAGGAATGCACGAGGGGAAAGATGAAATCCCTGTAATTGTCACTACGGGTAGGACGTAGCCTTCTAGTCTTTTCTGGGATAGTCTTTTCTGTCTTAGCTTCTCCAAAAGTGAACTCAGCGATTCCTAGGGGTCTTCCTAGTCACCTCTGAGTTCTGGAATATTTCAAAGAGGAATGAAATACCTGTCGCAGTGTGACTTTACAGAGTTGCCACCTCTGATCAAATCTGGGCTGCCAGCCTGCCCAAGTCCAGGGCCACAGCAGTCTCAATGGAGAGGAGAGCAGGCCCACATCTTTGGATTTGGGTGTTGTGCTTTCTGAGGACTTTGGCAAGACTGCGGTTGATGGAGCCACCTGGGTCCTCCCAGCGGGTCATGGTGTGTCACCCTGCAGAATGTTCAGGAAACAAACAGCAGATGTTGTGCCACAGCTGTGACCTCAGCGCCTTGGGAGGTTGAGGCAGGAGGATCACAAGTTCAAAGCTAGCCTCAGCAACTTACTTAGTAAGACCCTGTCTAAAAACAAAGAATAAAAAGGGCTGGGGACGTGGCTCAGTGGTTAAGCGTGCCTGGGTTCAATCCCTGGTACCAAAAAAAGAAAAAGAAAGAAACAAGCAGAGTTACTTTTCTCCTGTTGTAAGGATGTGGGAGCAGGGCTGCTCCCCAACATTATGTGCTGAGGGAAGTGAATATGTCATTTCCCTCATTTATCATCAGTTTCCTCAAAGGCTGGAAGTGGTGGGAACAGCCAGCCCTTCACTTGGTCTGCTCGCCCGTTTCAGCCTCTGGCTTTTCTCTGTTCTCTCCCTGCTTCTTTGGCTTGGGACCTTGGGCCCCCGGAATGCACATGCGACTGCCACCTCTCAGGAACTGAACACAGTGCAGGTCGGCCTCTGTGCCTGTGGGTGGTGCCGTGCCTCCCTGCTGTGCCATTTCGGAGTGGTCTTGTATGAGTGATGGTGCTTGCTTTGCCTTTATGACCGGACACTGTTAGAAATGGGGCCCGGTGCGCTTGTTTCCTGTGTTTTCCAGCCCAGTCACTGTTAGTGACCAGCTTTTGGGGGGAGGTGGGGTTTGGGGGTTTTAACCCAGGGGCGCTTAACCACTGAGCCACATCCCCAGCCCTCTTTATTTTTCATTTTGAGACAGGGTTTCACTAAGTTGCTGAGCTGGCTTTGAACGTGATAGTCCTCCTGCTTTAGCCTCCCACATTGCTGGGATGTGGAGGCCACCAGCCCAGGTGTGGCCAGCTTTTACTGCTCCCAGCTTCTAGGAGCAGTTACCTTGTTTTTTTCTCATTCCTTAATCTCTTAGTTTAGGGATCCAGGTACCATAAAGAGTGGTAGCATGCATTTGAACTGCAGGCTCCCGAGCAAAAATGAGGAAAAATGGGTCTTTTGGTGGCCCGTGACCACTGCTCCTACGCTTACTCCTTTTCATCTTAGGCCACCCTGGAGAGCAGGACCCCCGTGTGGCATTTTGCCTATTCTTAGAAGGGACACTTCTCAGCCCAGAACACCCATGCCAGGGATGGCAGATCCCTGGGATCAGAGCAAGCTGGCCCTTTCCCAAACCCTGTGTCTCCGGGAGGGTCAAAGCAGAGTGCCTCCTTCCTGCATCCTCTGGGAATAGACGCTGTCGACCTCAGGTGGGAAGGTGGGAAGGTGCACATGCCTGTCCCACCCACCTCCTACCAAAGGGTGTCCTGAGGAGTTGGGGTTGACCTGCGTTTGTGAGGCTGTCCCTGTCTGCCTTCTTCATCTTAGGAATCATCTGTGAGATATCCCTATTCCTGATCCAGATGTCAGGACTGAAGAAGGACAGATGTCCATGTGGGTTATTTTAAGTCTATTCCCCCTAATTCGTGTACCTTAGGTAGTTGTCTGGAAGTCAAAATCTGCAGCAGCTGTGGACTCCACTCTCATTGCCTGCAGCTTCATGTGTCCACCCAAATAAACATCTCCTCTCCAATTCTCCACTTTCTGCTGTGTTGGTGCCACAGCTCTGTTGCTTCTGCACATTCTGGACGCTGCCAGCATGAGCCGCTTCTACCCGGCTGCATCAGAAACCCCTGCCTCTCTGAATTAGCCTGGCACAGGAGTCCACGCAAGTCCACAAGGACTGCCCACTGTTGCTGTCCCCGGTGAGATGCGGGCCTGGAGGACAAGGAGTCAGTGAGGGTGTGCAGCAAGAGATGCTGCCTGGCCCCCTATCTGGGAGGAAGCTCTCCCACCATGCTTGGCAGTCTCCTTATCCCTGTGAGGCTTGGCGCTGGGCAACCGCGTCTCCTGGGACAGACACCTGTGCTGGGCGTTAAGGTGATATGAGGAGGACCAGGTGAGCAAGGTGGGGGCCTAGGGCTTGTCTGCTTGTGCAGGGGTGTGGTGGGAAGTGAGGAGGCCTTGGACCAGTACCGGGGTGACCCTGTTCTTTAAAGTGCAGGCTCTTGTTTTTCTTGTGTATGTCCGGAGTTTGTAGACCAGAGTAAGGGTTGGGGTTGGGGTTGGGGGAAGGAGGGAGGGTAGAGCCGCTCACCTCTTGGCCTTCGCCAGGGTGGGGCAGCATTCCTCTCCGAGGACAGGGCTGTGTGGCTCTGTGGCTGGGAGCCCCGTGTCAGAACCCTCCAGGCAGTGCAGTCCATTTGAAGTGTTAAAGATTCTCTTTGAAAAAGCTAGTCCCTGGTTATTAAAAAGGGAGTGAGCACGGATTTAAGAGGGGTGCCGAGAAGTTGCCGTGGTTATTATTTCTTATCGATTGGGAAAAGGAGTTCACTTTGCTCAGTAAATAGAGCTTTGATGGATTCCCAGGATCCTTCCCGGAGCTGATCTGTTAAAATGACACTTTTTATTACTGTTCATAAACGCCGATCTCCAGGTGCTGCTGGGATATTGCGCCTAAGCTGTGGGCAAACTTGCCAGTCCAGTGGCTCAGCAGGCAAGGTGAGGGGGGCTGGCAGGTGCTTCCTCCTCGTCCCCGCAGTGCTGGGCTCCAGCTTGCCTCGGGGGAACAGGGTCTGGAAGGATAGCAGGCAGTGGTGGCACGCAGAACACGCTTCAGTACGTGCCCCTTGACCCTGCAGGCCTGAGCAGGGGCAGGCAGCAGTTTCCAGCGTCACTGGGAGACAGTTGGGAGCTGCACACAGGAAAGCCTTTCCCAAAGGAGTGTTGAGAGGCAGCTGGTGCTGCAGCCCCTGGGAGCCAGGTCTGGCTCTTTGCTGGCTGGAACTGGGGTCCAGAGGAAGCACCCCTGTTCCTCACTTCAAGTAGGACTGTAGCTCTCTCTACACAATGCTGGATGGGCTCTCCTACCTCTGGCCATCCTTGGGACAGACTATTTCCTGGACTGTTTTAGATATTTAGATATTTAATAATTTTCCTTTTAA